CTGCAGAGCAGCTGGTGGGTTTGAAGCACTGACCTTTTGGTTAGCAGCCAAGTGCCTTAACCACAACACCACCAGAGCCATACCCATTAGAGGAACACAAACCCCTTAAGATAAATGTGAACTCTACACATCTACAGATAAAATAATTGTGAGCACATTCATTAATTTGTTATACATTTTGTATAAAACCCAGTAAAAAGGAATGTGACCATTTCACTACAGATTGATGGGAAATAAAAGAGAATCTGTGGATGGGAGGAGCCAACATGGGACAACATTGTACCACGTGCAGGAGAAACACATTTCTTAGCTAAACCTAGCTAAGGTTTTCACTATGTGACAAGGAGTTAAGAATTAACCCGAGAGCCATTCTCTGTAACGACTACAGTTAATAGATACTCCAGTGAGATGTGCTCCAAAACACAGCTGTGTTCAAGATTCTTCTGCCCCCTCAGACTCTGCACAATGGGACAGTATGTGTCAAAGGAATAAATACATGCTTTGACCAGGTGGCTTCCCTTCTAGAAATCTACCCTTAGGAAACAATGAGACAGGTTTACATAGGAGCACATACAAGGATGCTCATCTCAGGTGGTTGTACTGTGGTGGCTTGCACATGCTATAATACTGGACGCTACGCCACCAGTATTGGCTTTTCAAATACCAGCAGGGTCACCCATGGTGGATAGGTCCCAGCAGAGCTTCCAGACTAAGACACACTAGGAAGAAAGGCCTAGCACTCTCCTGAAAAATAATGGCCAATGAAAACTGAATGAATAGCAGCAGAATAATGATTGTGGGGATGGTGGAGGACCAGGCAGTGTTTCATTCCATTGTACATAGGGTCACTGTGAATGAGAACCAACTCTTGGTCATCAAGGATGTTTATGATAGTGATAAGCTAGAAAGCAAATACATTTCTACCATTAGGAAATTGGTTTTAATAGTATGATACAGCCACAAAATGGAAACTGTATGTAGTCATTACACAAGTTTGCAGATTTATTTATTCACGTGTGTTGATAACTTCTTCCCAGGTGAAGCAATTAGGTTATAGGACAATCTGTAAATTATGCTCCAGTTCTTATAAGAAAATATATTGGCACATAAATATGCATAGAAAAAGTTTGGAATGGAATGTACCAACGTTAAGGATACTTATCACTGGGTAGTGACATGGTAAGGGTTGGAGTTGCTTACTTGCTTGTGTTTAATCAGTATGAATTTCACGTAGCATGAATAAATTCACTAGGGATAAGCCCTCCACACTAATAGGATAGTACCTTAATATGGCTTAATCCTAACCGGTTTTGCCACAAATCATATAGGTACAATCCTGAAAAATCAGAGTCCAATGAAAATTTAACAGGAAAAAATAACATAAATAATTAATATTTAATAAGGAAGTCTTTCTAATTGCTTGGCTTCCTTTGAAAATAATCATATGGAAATCTTTGAGTGCCTGGTTGCATGCAGTTTTTATGTTTTTTTTTTGGAACAGATAATCATTCTCTTCTACACCACACAGAAGTCCCTTTAACCCCACATACCTGCCATTTTAACATTCTGTCATACGTTTCTTAGTTAATCAAACTCATCTCTGCCATCAGTCACAGGCTTAGTAATCAAACACGCCTTACTGTGCTTCCAGGTGTAGGAAATCTTCAACTACCAATGATTGGAGGTGATTGGATAAATCACACAGAGGAAGTCCCAGATCCTGACTGACGAAAGAAGCGACAGTCTTCGAGCTAACCTTTCTTCCCAGGACACCACTGCCCTCCACAGTAGCCCTATCGAGTGGCCATGTGTCCTATGCTTGGACACCTCTTCTGCTCCCCGCTCTCCCTCTGCCTCACCATCTTCTGAAACATAGAGTTTCATCTTTAGACATTTTGGAAAGGATGAATGAGTGGGGGAAGTAGGGCACTCCTTGCTTGGAAAGACTCTGGTATTATAGGGTTAAAAGCACATAAGAGAAAAATCTTTAAACAAATCTTCACTAATGAAAATATACCACTCATGATCAAAGAAGTCCAGGACCTACTTTCTAATCTTATCACCTGTAGCTCTAAGATAAAGAATTAGCAAACAAACCTGTGGGTATACACTCAGTGTTAGCGACCTAATTTGCAAAGTTAGGAGCCTGATGGATAACCCAACCTAAGTTCAGGAGGCTGAAAGTAACACAGTTAGGCTGTTACCAGAATGTTGAGAGCCACCATTAAGGGGCATGTCCCAGGCACTATGCAAAGCTTCATGTGTCCATCTTAATCTTGACCGACAGAGATGAAGAAACTGAGCCTCAGAGAGGTCAACCTCTGAGTTACTAGTCATACAGCTAGTAAGTGGTGGAACAGGAATTCTTGCTTGGGTCCTCCTGAGTATAAAAGGCATCCTTGTAACCACTGTGTAGCACTGGCTCCCAGAAGCTGTTTTATGCAAAGTCTCTCATTAGTGGAATAGTCTAGTGCAATGCAAGAGGGCAGATACTCTCAAGTTCATCATCTCCATCATGCTTACCAGCACCATTCATAGTATTTGATACAGGCTTGCATATCTGTGGCTTCCCCATAAGACTGGTCACATAATTTTGGGGCCCAGTGCAAAATGCAAAAGTGTTGTTGTTGCTGTGCACTGTCAAATTGATTCCGACTTACAGCAACCCTCTGGAACAGAGCAGAACCACCTCATAGGGTTTCCTAGGCTGTAATGGCCCTAGGGAATGGCCTTAGGGCTAAGGCAGTCACCTGCCACACACAATGCTGTCGATTTGAGCCCAAGCCCACCAGATAGCCCGTCTGTCTCTTTAGAGCTCTGGTAGCATACTGCCTAAGGCACTTGACTGCTAACCAGAAGGCTGGCGGTTCAAACCCACCAGCCACTCCTTGGAAGGAAGATGGGACTATCTACTTCTACGGTGATACTGCCTCGAAAACCCAAGGAGGGGTCGCTATGAGTAGGGTCCAACTCGATGGTACATAACAATAACAACAACAGGCTGTAATATTTAC